TGTGTGTGTGTGTGTGAATGTGTGGGTGGAGCTCTGTCACCAAAAGTCCTTTTCATTTGTACAGAGTTGCCGGGGACCACCGGGGCCTCGGGGGGCGGTGGTCAACGAAGACCACCCTGGTAAGCTGGTGCAAACGTACCTGCCCTTTTTTCAAATCGTATGGCAACCAAGCTCAGCCGAGGAGCTGGACACAGTCATCATTTAACTGCCAAGCGGCTTTGCATCTCTACCTCTGTCATATGAAGTAGGAACCAGAACTACCAGAAGGAGGATTGCACGAGTGTGTATCTAGACGGTTGTTCGTTCAACGTGCCGTCTACGGTAGGGATGCCCACTGCATTGAGTCCTGATCGGTTCGAACCCTGTACGGTTCCATCTGATTGAGCCCTGCTCGGCTACAAGTTGCCGAACCCTGATCGGTTCGCCGGAGGGATATCTGTGCTGGACAAGCACAAACACGATCCTGAGCGATAAATGCTAGGCTGGAAAATCTTCTGTTGTGCTCACAAAAAGAGCCTCGCAGATGTGCAGCCTTGAGTCCGCCGGGCCCCACCAGGTGCAGATGCTAGCAAAGCTCGAACCTTCCCACCGATCTCTTCTGTTGAGAAGCCATGTCTGATTGGTACGGCAACAATTGGAACGATCCCTGAAACAAGTGGCAACATGAACAAAGCTGGTCTTCACATGTCTGACTTGAGAGTTTCTTAAACAACTTGGCTGGTTACAGCTGTCGGTCGGCAAGCACTGCGGGGCTGCGGCAGCTTGGTAAGACCTGCGATCTGCAGATGTTTGGCCGTACTACTAGGACATGCGCTGCAGGGCTGCGGCATTTTGTAAGACCTGCGAACTGCAAGCGCAGTCCTCTAATCGGGTTTGAGGTGCCCAACGTGACGTGGGCCACCCCTTTTCTCTTTTTGCTTTTCCTTTTTCCACATTTGTCGTTTCAGAGTCACATTTCTCCTTTTTTTCAATTCTCGCAACCGAGAAGCCTTTTTCAAACCCCAAGGGCGGCCTACAACTGCATCTCTTTTCTATTTGGCTTTACGGCTCCACAGCCAACCGCCAGCCCTGCTGCGGAGCCTTTTTCTTTTATGCCCTAGTGGCTTTCTGTGTGTGTGTGTGGAACTCTGTCACCAAGAGTCCTTTTCATTTGTATAGAATTGCAGGGGACCACCGGGGCCTGGTCAACGAAGACTCCCCCGGTAAGCCCGTGCAAACCTGCCTGCCCTTTTTCCAGACCGTATGGCAACCAGGCCCAGCCGAGGAGCTGGACACAGTCATCATTTAACTGCCCAGCGGCTTTGAATTTTCACCGCTGTCATATGAAGTAGGAACCAGAACAATCAAAGGGAGGATTGCACGAGTGCGTGCGTGCGTGCGTGCGTG